CCCCGGCGGTGCGGGAGGTCCCCCGCGGGCCCACGGGGGCACGGGCTCCCGGGGGGCCGGCGGCGGCGCGACTCTGGACGCAGCCGGGCCCTTCCCGTGGATCGCCCCAGCTGCGGCGGGTGTCGCGGCCGCCCCCGGGGAGCCAGGCGGGTGGCGGGTGACGGGCGGCGGCGGCGGGCGGTGGCGGCGGTCCCGTCCCCCGTCGCTGGGGTCCGCCGCTCACGCCCGGCGCCGCCCCCCCCGCCCGCGTCGTTCGGCGCGCGGGTCCCCCCGCCAGGTCCGCCCCCGGGCCGCGGTTCCGCGCGGTGCCTCGCCTCGGCCGGCGCCTAGCAGCCGACTTAGAACCGGTGCGGACCAGGGGAATCCGACTGTTTAATTAGAACCAAGCATCGCGAAGGCCCGCGGCGGGTGTGGACGCGATGTGATTTCTGCCCAGTGCCCTGAAGGTCAAAGTGAAGGAATTCACCGAAGCGCGGGGGCACGGCGGGGGTGACTAGGACGCTCCTAAGGCAGCCCAACGCCTCGGCATCTAATCGGGGACGCGCACGAATGGATGAACGAGATTCCCACTGTCCCTACCTACTGTCCAGCGAAACCACAGCCAAGGGAACGGGCACGGCGGGAGCAGCGGGAAAGCAGACCCTGTGCAGCTTGACTCTAGTCTGGCGCGGTCAAGAGCCCTGAGAGCTGCAGAGTAAGTGGGAGGCCCCGGCGCTCCTCCGTCCCCGCGAGGGGCGGGGCGGGCCGCCGGGGAAACACCACTACTCTCGCCGTTTCTGCACCGACCCGGTGGGGGGGGGGAGCCCCGGGCTGGGGCGGGAAGGGGGAGAGCCGGGGGCCTCCTCGGCCGACAGGCGCGTGCACCCCCCTCCCAGAGGGCCCGCGAGGCGGGAGGGCGCGCGCACTCGCGCCTCCTTCCCTCCCTGCTGGTGGATGCGGTCGCCCAGCGGTCCCGCGGTCCCACGGCGGCCGCCCGCCCGCCCGGCTCGACCAGCAGCACCCGGTTGGCGCCGCCTCGCCTCGCCTCGCCTCCCCTCCCCTCGGGGACTCCCCGAGGCCGCGCCTCCCGCCTCCCTCTCGCCCTCCCGGTGCGACCAGCCGACGGAGAGACGGAGAGACGGAGAAGCAGGCTCCATCCAGGGCGCCCGACGTGGGACTCTGAGCCCGCGTCTCCAGGACCCCGCCCTGGGCTGAAGGCGGAGCTCGACCGCCGGGCCGCCCGGCCGTTACCGCAAGTTCGCCGTTTTTTTTTTTTTTTTAAGGTTTTTTTTTTTCTTTCTTTCTTTCTTTCTTTCTTTCTTTCTTTCTTTCTTTTCTTTCTTTCTTTCTTTTCTTTCTTTTCTTTCTTTCTTTCTTCCTTCCTTCTTTCCTTCCTTCTTTCTTTTCTTTCTTTCTTTCCTTCTCTTCCTTCTTTCTCTTTCTTTCTTTCCTTCTTTCTTTCTCTCGGATACAGAGAGGCAGAGACACAGGCCGTGGGAGAAGTAGCCTCCTCGCAGGGAGCCCGATGTGGGGCTCCAGCCGAATCCTGGGATCACGACCGGAGCCCAAGGCAGATGCTCAACCGCTGAGCCACCCGGGCGTTCCAGGGCTTTTTTGTGTCGTTGCAGGCTTGTATCCCCACCACCTCCAACAGCATCATCATGGCACGGAGCATGTGTTGAGTAGATGCTTGTTGGGTAGGTGCTGGTGAATTTCAGGAAACTTTCCAATGCAGCACCAGTAATAGACATCCACCCCCCAGTGACGGTGCTCTCCATGGGTTACAGAGTGATGTGGTGACAAGCACTAAAGATTGATTCTGTGAAAGTAGGAAAGGTTGGGGCCATTCTGATTACTTCAGCTGCAGCAGCCGAAAGATCACAGTCCCACACCCCCTCTGAGCCCGGGCCTTGCCTCTGTGAAATGAGACTCAGTCCCGGACTCTGACCTCATAATGTCAAGGGCTCTGAAATAGAGTAGTGTAGTGTTAATGTCATTCTTTTAAAATATGCATTTTCAAATATTTTTTTCAAATCATAATTCATTAGAAACACACTTAGGGGGCAGTTTGGTGCTACCTTCCAAAGCTCTAAATGCACACACTCATTGAACCAGCAAGTCCAGAGAGCTAGAATGTTGATTTTTCACTATATTCACACATGAATGCAAAGACAGACATACAAAGAGGTGCAATGAAACTTTGTTTATAGTAGAGAAAGAATAAAAACACTACATGTGGGGCACCTGAGTGGTTCAGGGGTTGAGCATCTGCCTTCAGCTTAGGTCATGATCCTGAGGTCCTGGGATTGAGCCCCACATCAGCCTCCCTGCAGGGAGCCTGCTTCTTCCCCTGCCTATGTCTCTGCATCTCTCTCTGCATCTCTCATGAATGAATGAATGAATGAATGAATGAGTAAAATCTTTTAGAAAACCACTACATGTCCTCAAGTAGGGGAGGAGTTGAGTAAACTGAGGCACATCCACACAGTGGACTAGCACATGGCTGTCAGGAAGACCGCGGTAACCCAGAAGTCCTGATGTGGGCACATCACCATCGCATTCATTCACTTAACCAACCAATATGTGTTGAGCAGTTGAGCACCTGCTATGTTGCAAGTGTTGTTCTAGGCACTAGGGACATAGAATAGCAAACTCCCTGCCCTCAGAAGCTTACGTTATAATATAAAACCACACATGTGCAAGTAAGCATGCAAACACACGTAATAATGAAATACAGCAGTGTTCTAAGGAAAGCAAAGCAGGCCAGGGAGAGTGTGGGAGCACTGCCCTCTATATGGCCAGGAGAGGCCTGCTGAGGAGCAACATCTGAGCGGACACCTCGGCAGGTGAGGGAAGGTCTGGGGCAGGTGGGACCAGTGCCTCTTGGATAGAGGAAACAGCCAATGCAAAGGCCCCAAGCACAGATGGCTTTGCTCCATTCAGGGAAGATCACAGGAGGCCAGAGGAGCCCAACTGGAGCAAGGAGGAGGAGGGCGAAGCCAAGGGAAGTGGGGTGAGCTGAGGTGAGGGGGCAACCACCCATCAGAGCAGACTCCTGACCACTCACCCGTCAGGCTGCAGCCTTGGGTCAGGCACACTGATGCATGTTGCTGGGATATCAGCTCCAGAGGGGTGGGGGCCTCCTCCACGTGCAGGGCCTTGCTGTTTTCCAGCATCACTCTGGGGCTGTGGGGAGGACAGATCAGGAGGGGGCAAGCACAAGAGCAGGAGCTCCAGAGGAGGCCAACATAATGGCCTGGAGAGGACAGCAGCTTGGATCAAGGAGGTCATGACCAAGGTGGGTGGGACTCTGACTACATTCTGAAGAGAGAACCAGCAGAATATGCTTTTGGATCAGATTTGGGGAATGAAAGATCTTGTGTGACTCTGGTTTTTGTCCTGAGAAACTGGGGGGAGAGGCTGAGGGAGAAACAAGATTTGGAGAGTGGGAAAGGTAGAATTCAAGTTTCTTCTGGATGCATCAGACTTGAGATGCCTGCTGGGTGTCCGTGTGGGTGGGGCCGCAGAGGGCAGGCAGGCAGCTCCATAAGTGGACTTCATGGGAAGAAAGGCCAGGGAAACAGCTGGGCAGCAGTGTTGCCAGCCAAGCCCCCGTACTCTGCATTCTCTTGCCATGAGAGATTTGTAATGAAGTCCCTCCCCTCGGCCCCTTCCTTCCTACTCAAGTCCCTTCCCTGGGCAGGCCTGAGTAACGCAGCCTCGGTAGTCCTTATTAGCACCAGAAGTAAGGCTTGCCTGCGCCCAAGAGCCCTCCCATGGCAAACTCCAGACCCTAAAGTCCAAGGCCCTGGGGCTCTGGCGGTATCTGGCAAGCAACCCAAGGTCTGGTGGCCGCAGGGTGGCTCTCCTGAGCTGGCAGCACAGCGCCCTGGCCTCCAGCCGGCAGGCCTGCTCTGGACATCTCTGCTGGCAGAAGCCTCGGGCAGCTCCTCCTGCCTGCCAGGGTGACTTCACCCTGACTTCCTACCTGCAGAGCGATGCGCTCATCTCTTACTCAGCCCTGAAGAGGGCGGGGCTCTCCTCACAGCAGGAAGAAGAGACGCTGAAGAAGGGGCACTCCGGGCCTCCCACCTTCGCCCCTCCCACCCCAAGGCCCCATGGGCTTCTCTTCCTCTTCACCTAGGTGGAGGCCAGACCTCAGAAGACAGGTAGGAGTGGGAGAACGATGGACTTTTCTAGAAACTTAGACTCCAACTCCAACTTTACCCCAGGACCCCGCATGTTAGGGACCAGAGTCTCAGTCTCCCCCTTTATATAGGACTGGGTGTGTTTATGGGCACCATTTACTTGGGCAGAAACGAAGTTATTTTAGGTTCCAGCTAGTTGCTCTCCTACCCAGTCTAGTCCACACTCTAAGAGTTCTTCAGTTTGCGAAACGAGGACTGTCACCCTCCAGGCGCCCCAATAGGCGGCCAGTGCCAGGCCTGTCTGAAGGCCTGAGCCAGTTTTCGGCTCCCATCGGTCCGAGGAGTCCTACAGAGAGGGGGATCCCAACGTAGCCCCCGGGCCATACCCGGTCCCTAGCGCGGCCGCGGACCCTGTAAGCCACGCGCCCGGCTCGCTCCACGAGTGCGCAGAGAGCGCTCAGGCTCCCCTTCCCCGGCCCGGGCTCTCCCCCTCCTCCGCCGCGGCCCCCGGAGAGGCCGCGCTCCCCCCGCGACCCCGCTCCCCCCGAGAGATGGCGGAGGATGCGCTCCGCGGGGGCCTGAGGGCGGGGCGCCCGGGCTCGCGGTCCGCCGGGGCGCGCCCCTACGCGCCGTTCCCTGCCCTCACCCGGCGGCCGGCAAGGACCGCGCGCAGCAACCGCGAGCCCGCGCGCAGGCTGAGGACGCTGCCGGGTTCGGGGGGGGGGGCAGGCCGCTCCCCGCCTCCGCACGTCGCTCCGCCCGCGCCCGCGCCCCCGCCCCGCCCCGCCCTCCCCGCCCCCCCCCCGCACCTCGCTCCGCCCGCGCCCCGCCCCGCACGTCCGCACCCCCGCCCCGCCCCGCCCCTGCCCGCCGCGCCTTAATCCCAGCCACCGAGCCCTCCCGCCACGGAGCCAGCGCGCACGGGCCATGCCCACGGGGACGCCAATGACCTGCGCCGCGGCGCTGCGGCTGCTGCTGCTGCTCCTGCTGCTGCCGCTGCTCGGCCAAGGTGAGTCCTGCGGGCGGCCGGGGGCGAACTGGGCGGCGGGCGGCGGGCGGGCGCTGGGAGGCGCCTTCCTCCGGGCGCGGGGGGCACCCGCCGGGCTGAGCGCGCAGCGAGGTGGGGCGGCGCTCCCGCACCCGAGGCCCCGCCGGGACGGGCCGGGCTCCGTGCCCAGGGCGTGAGCCGCACCCGCGCTGGGAGCCGAGCGGACGGACGCCGTGGCCGCTCCCCCAGCTGGGGAGCCTGAAAGCCCGCGACTCGGCGCGGCCAGCTCCGTGTCTGCACGCTGCTCCGCCCTGGCGTCGTTCCCGCTGCACGTCGGTGCCTTGCTCCTGCGGCTCGGATGCCCCGGCCTTCGGGGGTGCGGGGGAGGCCCGCTCTTGTAGAGGAGGTCGCTGTGCCCCGGGTGCGCTTTTGCCGCCCTAGTCTTTGAAAAACCCAAAAGCCCGTGGCGTCTGGGAGGCTGCCCGCGGGGCCCGCTCTGCCTGGCCCAGCGCAGCCCGCAGGCCCGAGTTCCAACAGCAGCTGCAGGGAATGATCTCAGTCTTTTGGTACCAATTGATACCTGATTTGATCCAGTATGTGATCTATCCTGGAGAATGTTCCATGTGGACTCGAGAAGGATGTGTATTCTGTTACTTTAGGATGGAATGTTGTAAATATATCTGTGAAGTCCATCTTTCTTTCTTTGTTGGTCTTCTGCTTAGATGATCTGTTCATTGTAGTGAGTGGAGTGTTAGAGTCCCTTACTATCTATTATTATTATTATTATTATTATTATTATTATTATCATTGTGTTTCTTTATTTTTGTTATTAACTGGCTTATATAATTGGCTACTTCCATGTTTGGGGCATAAATATTTGCAATTGTTAGATCTTATTGTTGGATAGACCCTTTAATTATGATATAGTGTCTTTCTTCATCTCTTATTATAGTCTGGTTTAAAATCTAATTTGGGGATATCCGGGTGGTTCAGTGGTTTAGCACCTGCCTTCGGCCCAGGGCATGATCCTGGAGACCCGGGATCGAGTCCCACGTCAGGCTCCCTGCATGGAGCCTGCTTCTCCCTCTGCCTGAGTCTCTCCCCCCCCACTGTGTTTCTCATGAATGAAAAAATAAAATCTTTTTTTTTTAAAAAGAACTTTCTTCCCTCATTTACTTATTTTTAAAGATTTTATTTATTCATGAGAGACACCGAGAGAGAGAGAGGCAGAGACACAGGCAGAGGGAGAAGCAGGCTCCATGCAGGGAGCCTGACATGGGACTCGATCCCGGGATTTCAGGATCACAACCTGGGTTGAAGGCGGCACTGAACTGCTGAGCCACCGGGCTGCCCCACCTTCATTTATTTAAAAGTAGGCAAATTCTCTTCAGCTTTTTATGCTCATCTCTGAGGTTTATTATTAGCTGGAAAGAAACCTTTCCGGAGAGCCAAAGCAGTTCCAATTAATAATGTAGATTCTTTTTTGTAACTGAAGTATTTTCTAAGAGTACCGGTTTTTTCAAGATGCGGTAGATAAATGGAATTTTTGTGATTTCTTTCAATTTGGTGTATACCATTCAATAAAGTAAAGACTATTGTTTTAATTCAGTATTTTTCTATTTTTTCTGACTTTTTAATGGAAATATTTTTTTAAAGATTTTATTTGTTTATTCATGAGAGACCCCCAGAGAGAAGCAGAGACATAGGCAGAGGGAGAAGCAGGCTCTATGCAGGGAGCCCAACGTGGGACTCGATCCCGGGACTCCAGGATCACGCCCTGGGCTGAGGGCAGGGGCTAAACCGCTGAGCCACCCAGCTGTCCCTTAGGTCAGGATTTAAAAAAAAGTTACCACCGTGCCTTTTTACTACAAGTAACGCTTTCTTTATATCTACTATCTAGTATATAATTTAAAATTTTTGGATTGTTTAAAAAAAAATGGAATTTATAGATGGTTTCTTTGAATCAGGACTTGAATGAACAAGGTCCAAATGCTCTGTTGAGTTTGTTTTTTAGCCTAAGTACATCTCCCTTCTTAGCCATACCCCTCCCCCCATCTGAAATCCCTACGTTCTGAGATTTCCTACATTCTGGGTTTGGCTAATTGTTTGCTTTTGGTATTATTTATTCCTTTACCCTCCATTTTTTCTACAAACAAGTAATTAGATGTAGAAGCTTGGTTAGTTGTTTTATTGTCAAGAATACTTCATAGGAGGTTCTGGGTGCTTCCTGTCGGTTCATATCAGGAAGTGCATGATGTGTGAATGACTGTCTCTTTTAGAGAGTTTTGTTAGTGGTCAGGTATACTCAGTCGTCTTTGTGTTTTAAGGTCCCCCATCCCCAGTCTTTTAAAAGGTTTATCATCTATTAATGGTTGTTGAGGTGATATTTAATCTGAGACTAGAAGGTCTCAGATGAGTCAGTCTTGCATGGAATTCACAGTGCTACAAATGAAGGAGCAGTATGTGCAAAGGCCCTGAAACAGGAAGTAAATGCTCTGAGAAACTAAAAGATCAGTTGGTGAGGTGCAGGGAACATGGAGAAGAACATGAGGGACTAGAGGAAAGACTGGCAAGAATAGGGCTAGATTCTGTGTTTAGAGCAGTAGCAAGCTTTAGAGCAGGGCCTGGCACTGTAGGATTAGGTGTTTGCTTTTTTTTTTAAAAGATTTTATATATTTATTCATGAAAGACACACACACACGCACACGCAGAGGCAGAGGCAGAGGCAGAGGCCGAAGAAGGACAGGCTCCATGCAGGGAGCCCAAGGACATGGGACTCAATCCTGGGTCTCCAGGATCACGCCCTGGACTGAAGGTGGCGCTAAACCGCTGAGCCACAGGGGCTGCCGATTTGTTTGCTTTTTTATTTTATTTTTTTAATCCTTTTAACTCTAGGGTGGAATTTTGTTTGAAGCAGTTTAGAGAGACCGGTTAAAAGTCTATTTCAGTGATGCGTGCTGGAAGTAACACCTTCTGGTTTGGGGAAATAGTCATGGAGGTGAAAAGTGGTGGTTTTGAAAGATTTAGAGATTAAAATTGGTAAGGTTCAATGATGTGATAATGGTAAGAGGGAGAGATAAGACTCAACTTTCTGGATTGATTGATTGATTGATTGATTGATTGATTTAGAGTGCAATGGGGCTGTGGGGGGAGGAGCAGAGAGAGCGAGAGAGAATCCCAAGTGAGTGAGAATCCCAATGGAGAAAGAATCCTTGGACTCCCTGCCCAGCAGGGAGCCTGACTTGGGTCTCCATCTTACAACCCTGGGATCATGACTGGAGCTGAAATTAAGAGTCAGTTGCTTAACGGACTGAGCCACACAGGTGCCCCTTAGCTTTCTGGTATGAGTTACCGAATGTGACTGCTCATTGGTAGCATAGAAAGAATAATAAGCTCTAGACTCTGGCAAGTTATTTGACTTCTTTTAGGCTCAGGTTCCTCTTTTAAGGAGCAAGTAATAGGCCTATCCCTGCTGTAATCAAAAGAGACTCCCAAGTGGGAAAGTGACAAGATCTTGCTTTGGATTCAGAGTTTGTCAACTGACCTCATTTCTCACATACGTTCTTGAACAGTGCTTTTGCTCCTGTTTTCTCTCCCATTCTTTCTACTCTTCTTTCATTTTAAAATCCTTCCACTCCTGTCTCTATTCCCTCTCATTCCTCCTCTGCTTTGCAATCAAAAGTAATGTGTCCTACTCTTAACTTTCATGGCCCTTAAAGCAGTGTCTTTTTAATGGCACAACACTTTCTACCAGGTGTTAGGCAAAGTAGGAAAACCTGTTGACGTTAAATTCTTCAGATCTGCCAAGCAGTCAGTTCCTGTTCCTGGTAAGATGCTGCACTCCCTCTCAAAATCATCCCTGCAAGAGTAAGAATAAGAGAATGCCCCCTATGTTCATTGCAGCATTATTTACAATAGCCAAATTACGGAAGCAGCCCAAGTGTCTATTGATAGATATATGGATAAAAAAGATTGGCATATAAGCACAGTATGTTGGAATGTTATTCAGCTATAAAAGAGAAGGGAAATCTTGCCATTTGCAACAGCGTGGATGGATCCAGAGCTTAATGGTAAGCAAAATAAGAGGAAAGACAAATGCCATATGATTTTACTCATGTGGTATTAATTTTTTTTTAATTTTTATTTACTTAGGATAGTCACAGAGAGAGAGAGAGAGAGAGAGAGAGAGAGAGAGAGAGAGAGAGAGAGGCAGAGACACAGGCAGAGGGAGAAGCAGGCTCCATGCACCGGGAGCCCGATGTGGGATTCGATCCCGGGTCTCCAGGATCGCACCCTGGGCCAAAGGCAGGGGCCAAACCGCTGCGCCACCCAAAGATCCCTACTCATGTGGTATTAAAGAAACAATATAAAAAGCAAAGGATAAAACGACAAACTAAGAAAACAGAGTGTTAAAGAGAACAGATTGATGGTTACCAGAGGAAAAGTGGGTGGGGGATGGGTGAAATATGTGATTGGCATTAAAGAGTACACTTACATGATGAGCATTAATACATTACTGATTAATGTAAAGAATTGTTGAATCATTATATTGTATACCTGAAACTAAAAGAACACTGTGTTAACTATATTGGAATTAAAATTGAAACTTAAAAAAGTTAGGGGGCCAAGAATAGCTGGTCACTTCTTAAAAAGAACAGGGAAGAGAAAACTTGCTTTGCTGGTTAGTAAGACTCATAAGATAGGAATGAAGACTTTTAATTTTTTATAATTTTTTTTATTTATTTATGATACAGAGAGAGAGAGAGAAGCAGAGACACAGTCAGAGGGAGAAGCAGGCTCCATGCACCAGGAGCCTGATGTGGGAATCGATCCCGGGTCTTCAGGATCACGCCCTCGGCCAAAGGCAGGCGCCAAACCGCTGCGCCACCCAGGGATCCCCGGAATGAAGACTTTTAAATTGAATAAACATAGAAAGATCAATGGGAATGTGAAGGGGGCGAGATCAGTGGAATAGAACAGGGAACTCATAAATACTCATGTATTTAAGGAAAATTTGATATACAACAGAGATGGCTGGCAATCAGGAAAGAGGCATGTTCAATAAATTGAGCTGGAAAAAAATGGCTCCCTATAGGGAAGAAGAGTAAAATAGATTTCTAAAAAGAAAAAAGTCTACTACAGAGGGATTAAGAATTTAAATGTCGGGCAGCCCCGTTTGCGCAGCGGTTTAGCGCTGCCAGCAGCCCAGGGTGTGATCCTGGAGTCCCGTGATCAAGTCCCATGTGGGGCTCCCTGCATGGAGCCTGCTTCTCCCTCTGCCTGTGTTTCTTTCTTTCTTTCTTTTTTTTTCCTGCCTGTGTTTCTGCCTCTCTCTGTGTCTCTCATGAATAAATAAATAAAATCTTAAAAAAAAAGAATTTAAATGTCATTTTAAAAATGTCATCCTTTTACCATGCACACTCACAAATTTTAGTATGTGAGGTGAATATGAGACCTTGAGGAATGAAAGATTGCTTAATTAAGAGAGGTCATTGGCTGAAAAAGAGATGATAAATATAAATTTGATTTTATTAAAATTAAGTTTTCATAAAAGTATCTTCTAGGAAATGGAAAAAATGTTACAAGTTAGAAGACAATATTTGCAGGACACCCAATTTACATAGAGGTAATATTAAAAAAATATAAAAAACTATTATGAATTAATGAATATAACAAAATCCATTAGAAAAATGTCCAGAAGACATGAGCTGGTATTTCATAGAAGAGGAAACACAAGGCTGATAAGCATATGAAGAGATTTAGCATCATTGTCATTAGTGAACAGAGAAAAAGTCCATTCCTATTGGCAAAAATTAAAAAGTATTAGAGTAAATAAATTCATAGAATATTTTATACATTCCTGATGGGACTGTGGATTGGTACAAACACTTTGAAAATAGTTTGGTGTCAGTTCCTAAAGTTGAGTATTCATACATGCCATGATCTAGCAATTTCTCTTGTAGATATACTCGAAACACTTTTTTTTGCACATGTACAAGAATATTATTAGTAGCATTGTTCATAATAGTGAAAACTAGAAACAACCCAAATGTTCATCACACTGGAATATTCTATAGCAGTCAAAATAAATGAAAAATAAAGTATGAATCTTAAAAACATGCTAAGTGAAATAGGCCAGACACAAAAAGGCAAATAGTGTGATTTCACTTAGATGAGGTGTCTAGAATTGGCATATTCTTAAAGGTAGAAAGGATTGTGGTTATCGCGGCCTGGGGAGAGGAGGTCATCATGAGAGTTTGCTGTTTAATGGGTGCAGAATTTCAATTTAGTTGACTAAAAAGTTGTGGAGATGGATAGTGTTGATGGTGTACAGTACTCAGTGCTTAATGTCACTGAATTGTACATTTAGAAATGGTAGATTTTACGTTATATTTAGTTTACAATAAATTTTAACTAACGTGACACAAGTAGGAATTTTAGTGAAATAAAAATCTAAAATTACTCTACCTGCTTTTTTTTTTCTTAAGTTAAAAGCGACTGAACTAAAAATATTTACTCCTTAGCATTCCATTTTGATGCAGTAAACTGCATAAAGAGGAAGGGAAGAAAATCAAAACAGGATTCAGGATGATTGTTGGGGAGACATAGGGGTATTACAGTTAAATATAGGTTGTTGTCAAGCGTACTGCTTTGTGGATACTTATTGCATTAGGAAGAATCGAGGAAACATGGGCCATGTGTGGGTAAACAAAGTATGTTGAAGGAAAGGATTATGAGTAATTCTGTACATTGAGGTCTAATGGGCAAAAAATATTACTAAGTGGAGATTTCAGAACTCTTGAGTTTGAAATCTTGACTCTAGCAGTTCACAGAATTCTATTATCTTGGGCAGATAACATCTCTCCTTCTCTTGCCTTAGATGTAAAAGAAAGCTGATGACATTACCAATGTCATCGGTTTATTTAAGTGTTAAATGGGTTAATCTCTGTGCCTGTACAGAGTAAGCTCTATGAGAGTCTGTGCCATCTGTTTTGGTTATCTAATGCTATGTAGTAAACCACCTCAACAACTTAGTGACTTAAAACAGTGGCCATTTTACTTATTTCGTATGATTCTGTGGGCTGAGTTGGATGGTTCTTGTCTGGCATGCAGCTGTCGTCAGGTGTCAGCTGCTTTTGGAATGTCCTGTAATATGTGGTGCTTTGGAGGGAATGGCTGGAAGAAGGCTGGGCTCAACTGAACCTTTTCTCCACATGGCCCTTTTATGGGATCTCCAGTAGAGTAGTCAGATTTTAGGGGCCTCAAAAAGCACAAAAAATGGAACTGCCAGGCTTGGAATTGGCACATTATCACTTCCACTGTATTCTACTAATGAATGTTGCAGAGCCACTTGGAAGATGTGGTTCAATGGGGACCATTTTTGGAAACCATCCACACTGCTTCTTTTTATTTTTAAGATTTTATTTTTAAGTAAGTGTAGATCTAATGTGGGGCTTGAACTGACATCCCTGCTCCAAAGACTGAGCCAGCCAGGTACCCCTCCCCCCCAATCCACACTGTTAGTGATATTTATAGCTATCGTGTTTCTCTACAGTGTGTAATAATTGTCAATTTAGGCAGCAGGTATTTATTAACAAATAAATACAAATACTTACTGCTTATGTTTTACATGATAAATAAAATGTATAGTGTGTTGGTTGGTAACGAGGATAGTAAAGAAAACTAAGGCAGAGAAGGAGATAGGGAATACTGGGGGTTGGGAGTTGCAGTTTTAAAAACGAGTGGTCATGGATGGCCCCTTTGGTAAACTTGACTTTTGAACAGACAAAAGGGGGAGGTTAGGAGCTAGAAAGGCAAGGGGGGGAGCAAGAAGACCTTAAGTAGTGCAGTTGGGAGGTAGGTGGTTTGGATTCATGCAGTAATAATGGAAGTGGTGAGAAATGGTTAGAGTTTGGATATATTTTAAGATACAGCTTTAGAATTTATTAACTGGACGTGGAGTGTGAAAGAAAATGAAATCAAGGGTGGCTTCAAGGTCACTGACCTGTCTACTGGAAGGATGGAGTTGTCATTTGCTGAGATGGGGAAGACTGCAGGACTGGCAGGTTTGGGGAGATCAGGATTGGTGTTTTATGTATAAGGTTTGAAATGCTAATTAAAAGCTAGCTGCTTTAAAATTGTCAATTATGCTTATATCTTATTTGACTTCCCATTATGTAGCAAGGGAAGCAGGGGGGGGAGAGGAATTTCTATTTTGTTGGAGTTAGTAAGTACTCTCAGAAGATTGAGGAATTTTTTAGTTTTAGCCAGAGTATTTGTCAGTTTTTCCAGGCCCCTTTCACCGTTTCCCCGATGTGTTTATTTCATAAATCTCACTGATCATTTATTACCTTTTTTGTTAGAAAAAGGCCTGAAGATAAACTTAAGCTTATTTTAAAATTTGTTTTTCCTCTTACACCTTTTTTTTTTTAAGGATAGATGGTAGAATGTGATTCAATTCATGCTACATCCTTCCTTGATGCTATATGTCCACTTTGTTTTATTTATTTTTTATTTTTTAAAGATTTTATTTATTCATGATAGAGAGAGAGACAGAGAGAGGCAGAGACACACACAGGCAGAGGAAGAAGCAGGCTTCATGCAAAGAGTCCGATGCAGGACTTCATCTTGTGACCCTGGTATCACGACCTGAACTGAAGGCAGATTCTCAACCTCTGAGCCACCCAGGCATCCCTCCACTTTGTTTTAACCCATTTTGTAAATATTTAGTTGCTGTACTCTTTGGGGTGGGCAGGTATTAAAAGCCGCTTTAGTTGATACTGAGCATTTTGACTATCATTTTCTTGTGGTTCCTTGCCAAGACCTGTTTCAACATGTTGCAAAGGTTTTTCTTGATGTGCTCACAGAATCTTAACTTTATTACTTGGTGATTCCCCCAGCTCTTACACCTGTTGTCTTCCAGGGGGTGCTCTTGAGCGCTACCCAAGAGAGGAGGAGTTCCTGAAACTCGGATTTTCATTTGGTAGATAATGGTTGTAAATTAGACTCCCCCCTAAAACAATTAACTCATTATCATCACTGTGGAGGTTGGAGCCTGCCTGAACCTGTTTCTGCTTCAGGCTTCACCTGAGGGAAGCATGGATGGTTCTAACCCTTAATTAAGCCTTTGAGTTTTTTGTAGGATCTGAACTTAGAAAGGGATCAGAAGAGTATCAAGAACTTCATATGAATATATTACATTTGTGTAGGGCGCTCTGATACGTGTTATTTTTTCTTCTGCTGCTATTTTGTACATCTTGAGAGAATTTTCTGCTTTAGAAGAGATTTCATAATGCTTTTTTCCTTTCAGATTTATCCACAGACTGCAATTTCTTCCCTGCCAATATGACATCATTTGCCACCTCTGCCCAGTGTTCAACTTCTGACAGTGCTTGCAGGATCTCCCCAGAACAAACCAAGCAGGTAAATCATTTTTAGGCGTTCCTAGTATTCTGTATTCTGACTGTAGGATTTATGTAGAGCAAAAAGGATTATTTTTTAAAATGGCATATTAGGGAAACCAGGAAAAGGTGTCAGTGCTCAAAATTTGAATTGATTATTGATTAAAGATGTAGAGTTTACAGATTGCTCAAAATATGGGACATTTTGAAAACTATTGCATTTTAGGGTATAAGTGGCTAGTGGAGAATTTGGGGCCAAATTATATGTTTGTTTTCTCTCTCATTTCATTTTAACAAGCATGTTTTCTTTAAAAATTAATTTTGAATATAGCAAATGTATTCTCATTAAAAATTCAATTTTATAATGTGTTTATCATGTATTTATCATAGAGACTCCTTGACCATCTATGTCTTCCCTTCTTCCCCCAAAGTCCCTTCCTCCTAAGACAACACTGTGTCTTATTCCAGATCTTTTCCTCTAACATATAAAGATACATAATTTTGTTTTGTGTTTTCATAAACATTGCACAATATTTAATATTATATACCTTAGTATATGATAAAGGTGGAATTTAGATTTGTTGGGGGAAAATGTGGCTTATATAATAGATAGTTTTGATGTAATTGTCCATCTCTGGAAGGAAACAAATGAAGTCCTCAAACTTTGTATAAAAACAAATTCCAGATAGGTGAAAATTTAAATGTAAAAAGCGAAATAATATTAGAAGAAAACTTAGGGGATGCTTATGAAAAGAGGGGCCTTAAATAAGACAAAACCAAAGAGGCTGTAAGAGGAAGAGAGACAAGTTTGACCATAAGAATTTTAAAGATTGTGTGGCTAACGACAGACACAGTAAGAGTCAAGATAACGTCAAAGTTACTATCCCTGGTGTGTTTATGCCACATTTGGCTTATCTGCTCATCTGTCGGTACTACTTGGGTTGTTTCCATTGTTTGGCTAGTGTGAATAATGCTTCTGTGAACACTGGTGCACAAACACTTATTTGAGTCCTGCTTTCAGTTCTTTCGAGTATATAGCAAGGAGTCGAACTGCTGGGTCATTTGGTAATTCTGTCTTTAACTTTTTGGGGAACTGCCAAACTATTTTCCATAGCAGCTGAACCATTTTATCTTCCCACCAGCAGTGCACAAGGGTTCCAGTTTCTCCATATCCTTGCCAATACTTATTTTCCCCCCCTTTTTTTTCTTTTTATTATGGCCATCCTAGTAGGTGTGAATGTGCTGTCTTTTGGAAATGTGATTTTTCAGGAAGGTAACAGATAGTAGTCTGATTATCTGCCAGTATACTGTGTATTGGAAGATTGTATGTTATTAGATTATAAGTATCCAACAGGGTTTGTTAAAAAAAATTTAAGGAGGTTTTCTTGTTCCTTAGGGTTTCAGAAACCAATTTAGTTGAAATGTAAATAATGGGTTTATTTTATGTTTATATCAGGTACGACCAAAACTTCCACTTTTGAAGATTTTGCAGGCAGCAGGGGCACAAGGTGAAATATTCACTGTTAAAGAGGTAAGCCATTAAAGAGAATTCTCCATTTTAAGAACAGCTGAGAAGTAGAAGCTGATGAGAGAGAGAAAAAAAAAGAAGAAGCTAATGAATGTATGGTTCTGAAATCAGGCCTAAGAAAGAAAATTCTACTCCTGAGGTACTAAGAGGCAACTTTTGCTTTATTTTAAAGACCATTGAGGGCAGCCAGGGTGGCTCAGCAGTTTAGCGCCTGCCTTCAGCCCAGGGTGTGATCCTGGAGACCTGGGATCAAGTCCTGTATCAGGCTCCCTGCATGGAGCCTGCTTCTCCCTCTGCCCGTGTCTCTGCCTCTCTCTCTGTCTATCATGAATAAATAAATAAAATCTTAAAAAAAATTCACACATGTAAAAATGGAAAAAATGCCAATACCTGATTTCTGTTCCCTATTTTCCACTTGTAGTTGTATACTTAGGTACCTTTTGACCCCATGGGAAAAAAAATCTAAAGTTCAGAACTGCGAAGAAAAAAAAATTTTTTTAAGAATGAAATGTTTTCCATCAGAGTTGATTCTTAGGCACATTCTCTGTGTGTGACATGCTAGCTGTATGTCTTTTGGTGTAATCGTCGCATGTTTGGTGTTTGGTATGGATAGCACACCTCACTTGTTGTCTTAGCTGCACTCTAGAAGCATAGATTTCTTTAACGCCCACCAGAAAGGAAGTAGAGTTCCTCACTTGCCAATTTCATGCCAAGCACCAATAGCTGTAACCACTCTAGAAAGAGGACATAGATTTCTTTAAGTTTCTTGAGTCAATTGCTTTCAGCAGCAGTTTATGCTGCTTTGAAAGGGTAAGAGACCTTTGTGCCTCCCTCTCCCACTCAGGAGTTCATGGTGTGACATGGCTTAATAATGTCCATTTATTAACAGTCATTGGAGTAGAAGACCTTATTACTTTGAATACTTAGAGTGGATTTATTTCTTCTGAAAGTCTGACAGACAAGGCTGTCCCTATGTTTTAAATCTTTCTTCTTTTCCTTCCAGTAAAGGCAGTTTATGAGTGGTCTTCCCATGGTATAGAGACCTTATTTCTCCCTCCCAGATAGGAGCCTTGATTATCTGGGCAAAACTACACAGGTACCCATTTATAGATAACAGTGCTTAGAAGACCTATTACTTTGAATACTTAGAGTGGATTTCTAGTCTGACAGCTTTAAATCTTTCTTCTTTTCCTTCCAGTACCAATATAATGGGAACAGTATTCGGAAAAATCAGTATTCGTCTGTGCAGATAAATAATAATTCCTGACAAGTTGGGGCCTAAAGTTAAAGACAGCTGCTTTGATTTGCCTGTATTCTGTGGCAACAGAGTTTTTACTGTCATTAAGTGAACTTAAATATTAAGCAGTTTAAAAAAATCTGCATAGGGAAAACATTAGGAAAAAATAAAGAATTCAAACTTTTTTTTTAAGATTTTATTTATTTATTTGAAGAGAGACAGAGATAGTGACAGAGATAGCAAGAGAGAGCACCAGCAAGGTGGAGAGGGAGAAGCAAGCTTGATCCTAGGACCCCAGGATCATGATCTGAGCTGGAGGGAGATGCTTAACCAACTGAGCCACCCAAGCATCCCTAAAACTTACGAATCATGAACTTGTCTGAGTTTCTTCCATTTTTGTGAACTCTGTGGAAAAAATCCAGATATACTAAATTTTTATTTGATAAACACTGTTTTATGCAGTTATAGTGCTGATGGCTTATTAAACATTGTAGCTCATTTGTGAAAAAGAATGAAATGAATATGCATCAAAAGTGTCTTGTAGTTGTGTGTCCCTGGATTTGGAAAATATTTTTATGACCCACGCACATTTAAAGTTTATTACTTCTACTTTTAGAACAGACCTCTTTATTTGAACTGGTGAGATTTTTTAATGGGATAGTAGGTAAATGCAATACTTTTCTCACTGTCAGACCACTACGTTTCCATTCTAAAAAGTAAGAATGTCTTGATGTCTAGCATGGTAATAAGTGGATGAACCTAGTGATTGGGGACAACTGTCTTGTTGTAGGACTCCTTACACAAGCACTGACAGTCCCGCTCATATGTGTTTTGTCTTTCTTTAGCAAACTAACTTACCTATCTCTCATAATAATTTGGTGATTTTTGGAGCAGCTGGACAGACCTCTCATGCTGCTTTATTGCCATGCAGGTCATGCACTATCTAGGCCAGTATATAATGGTGAAGCAGCTTTATGATCAGCAGGAACAGCATATGGTGTATTGTGGTGGAGATCCTTTGGGAGAACTGCTAGGACGTCAGAGTTTCTCCGTGAAAGATCCAAGGTAAGAAGAGGGAGGGTTTGTTTATCTTTTTGGGTGCTTATAACCACTCAATCTTTATAGGATATTAATGGTTATTTATTCCTTTAGTCAGTCAATATTTAAGGGCCTACACATGTCAGGTAGCCTGTGATTCCCTAAGACCGTGTTAGTGAGCAATCCTCTCAGATTCTATGGAGCTTAAAGAACAGTGAGACTGTAGATGCTTTTCTCCATCTTCATGAGATTATCACACCAGCACATGGTAAAATTATACTGTGGATGTTACAGAAAAGAGGTACATGAAGCTGTGTAGGGGGTGGGATTTAGGATCTTAGGGGTTGAGATAAGGTTCCTTTAGGAAGTGATATTTGAGCTGAGAGCTTCAGGAAAAGTGAGGAGTGAGAGGTGCTGCAGGAGAGGGTTGGAGGAGAGCTTCTGGCAGAGTAAACATTGTGTGCAAAGGCCTGAGTAGGATGAGCTTGATGTGGCTGGGTTAGAATTTTGTGCAGCAGCTGTTCTAGAGAGGAAGAGTGAGCTGATGAGAGAGACGTAGCATTGCTGGTCGATGATGGGCTTCATAAGCTCTACTGTAGAGCTTCTCTGACCTGTTTGACTTTCTCCAGCTGCATAGAGTTACAGAGTTCTAGAGTCAAAAGGTAATTAGTAATGAAGCAATGTTTTCTTTCTCAGCTTTGTGATGACAGAGATAGCGAGAGAGAGCACCAGCAAGGTGCAAAGGGACAAGCAGGCTTGATCCTAGGACCCCAGGATTATGACCTGAGCTGGAGGGAGATGCTTAACCAACTGAGCCACCCAAGCGCCCCTAAAACTTATGAATCATGAACTTCCACCCTTTCCCCAATTAAAATTGTAAAACTTAATTCTTTGTAGGTAGGAAGGAAGGAAGGAATGGTCTCCAAAGGAAATCTTGTGTTACTGTTAGCTAATTAAATAAAATGTAAATTAATCAGTTTCTTTTTTTTAAAGATTTATTTATTTATTCATAGAGACAGAGAGAGAGAGGCAGAGACACAGGCAGAGGGAGAAGCAGGCATCATACAGAGAGCCTGACGTGGGACTCGATGCAGGGTCTCCAGGATCACGCCCTGGGCTGCAGGCGGCGCTAAACTGCTGCACCACCGGGGCTGCCCTAATCAGTTTCTTAATAGGGGCAAAGTAACACAAGTGCTTGGACATTATCATCTTGACATTTAAATAATTACTAACCTATTGTGGGGAAAACATTCTCTTCTCCATGTGTTATAGAGAAAGTTAGAAGATCACGTATCTGATAGACATGTAATATTTTAATGGAAAACCATGGGGTTATTAATTTTTTTGTCTCTGACAGCCCTCTCTATGATATGCTAAGAAGGAATCTTGTCACTTTAGCCACTGCTACTACAGGTATGTCACATCCTATTTCTTCAGTGTGTATCACAGCTTTGAGCTCAAAGGGGGCAAATGATGGGAAAACAAGGAGGATCAAGATGGAAATGAATTGCTATGTTGGCATGACTGGGAGGGATACTGTAGTACAGAATGTTATTAGTATGTTAATTCTTCATTGTGAGAAATTTCAAATAGACTGAAAATAGATTAGTATAATACACACCTCTTAGTAGTTGTTAACATTTTGCTACATTTGCTTCATCTGGATATACTTTCTTTTTCCTTAATTTTACTTCTTTTTTTCATCTAGACATACCTTTAAAATCTCTAACAGTTAAGGACCTTTTTCCTTTAAACGTAACTATAAACGTCATTCTTACATCCAACAAAATTAATAATAATAAGATGGATAACAACTTCATAATGCTATCCAATAGCCAGTGTATGTATAGTTACCCCCAATTATCTCAGAAGTATCTTTTTTGTTTGGCTTGTTGAAATCAAGAGCCAGACAAAGTCCACACGTTGCATTTGGTTGGTATGCCTCTAAGTATCTTTATAAAACAATCCTCCTTTTATTTTTATTTTATGTCATTTATTTGTTGAAGAAATGGATCATTTGTCCTGTAGAATTTCCCACATTCTAGTTGAGGTTGCAGATTTTGTCCTTGTGATGTTAACATGTTTCTCTGTTTCTTTTATTTTTGGCAAACTAGTGTAATGCTGAAATGTTTCAAGTATAGATTTTTTGCTGAGAAGGTGTCATAGGTGGTGCCTTGTACATCTGTTGCATCTCATCTGAGTCATATAAGGTCTGCTTGTCCCTTTTAGAAAGGTCCCTGAAGAACTTTCATCTAGCTAATGATTTTAGCTTTCTGTTATATGAATGCCGATTTGTCTAAAACCCTTTGACTAATTCCATATCTTTTAAATATTGTCCTTTGAGTTTAATTTATTAGGTATGTGAGGAAACGGGCTGCTTTGGGGTCTGAAGTATGGTGTATTAGAGATCAGTGGATCAACTGGATATAACTGAAACGTAACACTATCTCTTCATCATTTCCAAAGAATGAAACTTTTCCCTTCCATTCCTAAGTGAAGTGCTTTTGTGAGCTTCAAATTAGATTTTAGGTAACCTTATCCTTTGAAGAAAGCCCAAGTTTGTAATTCTTTTAGATTGGTTATCTTTCCAGTTTACTGAAACATATAATTGAAAAGAATCCATTCTTTTTTTTAATTTTATTTTATTTATTTATGATAGTCACAGAGAGAGAGGCAGAGACACAGGCAGAGGGAGAAGCAGGCTCCATGCCCCGGGAGCCCGACGTGGGATTCGATCCCGGGTCTCCAGGATCACGCCCTGGGCCAAAGGCAGGCGCCAAACCGCTGCGCCACCCAGGATCCCCGAATCCATTCTTAATAAAGGTTTATTTCACGTGAGAACAGAAAACTGTTTTCATTTGAAACGTGATTTTTAACTTATATTGAATTTTGGAGCCTGTTGACTTCATTGAGCCATTTGCTCACTTTACCCACTTCACCCAGCTGTAAATTTCTATTCAGATGGAAGGCCTTGCAAATAATATAGTATCTTTATTGAAATTCAGTCACTTGTGAAATAGTAGGGCTTCCCTGGGATACTCACTGCAGGCCCAAATACACAGAGGAGTGAAATTATTGATTTAAAATCAGTTTGGCAACATATATTAACACCCCATGCCCATTGAAGTGCCCTCCTTAGTGTTAGGGTCACCTAGTCACCTCATTGCCTCCATCCCTCTCCCCTTCTGCAACCCTTTGCTTCCCAGAAAACTAGGAGTCTTTGCTGGTCTCTGATTTTTCTCCACTCGATAAGATCCTTGCCCTTATGTTCCTTTTACTAGACTTTTAAATTTCTCTTTTTTTTTTTTTTATTTATTTAGTCACAGTCACACACAGAGAGAGAGAGAGGCAGAGACACAAGCACAGGGAGAAGCAGGCTCCATGCACTGGGAGCCCGACGTGGATCCGATCCTGGGTCTCCAGGATCTTACCTGGGCCAAAGGCAGGCGCCAAACCGCTGCGCCACCCAGGGATCCCCCTTTCACTTATTTCTTAAAAATATTTAATGCTTGAGAATATGCTGTCATCCTTTCATATTGGCCGTGCTAATAACTTCTATTTTATTTTATGTTGTTGATTTTTTGAGCCATTTTCTTTACTTTATTTTCAGAGAGCTGAGATTTCTATTCAGAGGAAGGCCTGTGAAATAATAGTAGAGGGAGATTCAGTCACTCCCCAAATAGGGAGCCCTGGGATGCTCAGAAGGGCCATCCTGAACTGAGATCATTCCCTGAGCCAAAGGTAGATGCTCAACCACTATAGCCAACAGTGTCCCTCGTTCCAAGTGCCCTATATACCTGCTGTGAAGTAGCACCTCATTGGATTTTGTATTTCCCCCTTGATCCCTTTATTAGAATTTGTTTTTTCATGATCCTTTCTCTGAATATTCTGGAGTGGATTTAATTCTTTCCCTTTCTTCTTTTCACTATTTCTTTAACATATGAATATATAATATATATATACATACACATATATATGCTAATATTCTCTATATATAAATTTTATTATTTTTAAAAGATTTTTTTATTTATTTATTGACACAGAGAGAGAGGCAGAGAGACATAGGCAGAGGGAGAAGCAGGCTCCATGCAGGGGAACCCGATGTGGGACTCGATCCCGGGTCTCTAGGATCACACCCCAGGCTGCAGGTGGCGCCAAACCACTGCGCCCCTGGGGCTGCCCTAACATGCCATAAGTGAACATTACTATAACATTATTTTTTTAAGCTATTTATTTGAGAGAGAGCGCACGCAAGAGGAGGGGAAGAGTCAAAGTGTGAAGCAGACTCCGTGCAGGGCTTGATCCTTGGACTCCTGGATCATGACTTGAGCTGAAGGCACATGCTTAGCTATAAGACTGAGCCTCCCAGGCACCGCTTGATAACATTTCAATTGAATTATCACAACCACCCCATGAGGAAGGTCTAGAGATGATGCAACTGAAGGGTTTTAAAGTATTGTTTTATTTGCGTTTTTGGTTTTTGCTTTTTTTAATAGAATGAGGGATTTGTCCAAGAGTGGTTGCCACTTACAATTGGTAGAACAGATATTTCTGACTGACCATTTCTTGCTCTTTTCATTGTGCCACACACTTGATATTATAACAGAAATTGCTCCAGTTAATTTTTCTTACCACAAATTTCTCTCTGAACTTTAAATCTTCAAAACATTTTATTCTGAAATTTGTCACTTTGAAATAATTTCAGTTACAAAATGTAGTAGACGTATTATAAGGAGTTCCAAATGGTACTTTACCCAGATTCCCCAAATGGTAACATCTTATATGACCCTAGTACAATGCTCAAAACCAGAAAGTTGCCACACAGTAATTTTGAAAATTGTCTGCTCTGACTTGAACTTGCATTGGTGCTTGTGGTTGGTCATCTCTGTTCTTAATAAATTGGGTTGCATGTATTTTATTTAAAAGGACAAATGAGAAAAAATGTTTTTTTCTTTTTTTTTTTAAGATTTTATTTATTTATTCATGAGAGATACACACACAGAGAGAGAGGCAGAGACATAGGCAGAGGGAGAATCAGGCTCTCTGCAGGGAGCCCGATGTGGGACTCGATCCTGGGACTCTAGGATCATGCCCTGGGCCAAAGGCAGGCACTAAACCACTGAGCCACCCAGGGATCCCCAAGAAAAATGTTTTCTATATCATCTATTGTACACCTTTGCAAGTGAGTTAAACCTTTATTTTGATTGTTGAGAAAATGCCATTGTTTAAAGTAAAGTGGTCTTTATGAATCATTTGTCCAGATCTCCATATGTATATGAACAAAATGAAATATATGACAAACTTTGTTGTTATTTTAAAGTTCCTTTGTACATTATAGTTTTCCCAGATAATTTCTTTTTGCTTCTTAATATTTTAATCTAAGGAAGGTAATAAGGCGTTAGAACTACAAATGACAGTAATCAAGTTGCTTTATTAAAGAAATGCTTAATCTGTGTTTTCTTGTTTATCTTTGAAGACCACTGTGGTCAGAAAATGCTTTCTCTTGAACTCCTCAGTATTCTCTGTTTACCTATAAAAATGCTCGTATAAGGGATCCCTGGGTGGCGCAGTGGTTTAAAGCTTGCCTTTGGCCCAGAGGCGCGATCCTGGAGACTCCGGGATCGAATCCCACGTCGGGCTCCCGGTGCATGGAGCCTGCTTCTCCCTCTGCTTGTGTCTCTGCCCTCTCTCTCTCTCTCTCTCTCTCTCTCTCTCTCTCTCTTGACTGTCATAAATAAAAAAATGCTCGTATAAAATCATGCCTTTATCATTACAGTTTTGAAATTGTTTTGTGCAGAACAACTGAATTATCAGACATGCAGTTGTAGGATCAGTATTCTTTTCTCTGGCAGTCTTTATTACACAAGGATGAGGTTTTCCTTAAATGTCTTATCTCTGGACTTGAATAGTAGCTAGTGAATCCAGCCCTTGGTAGACTTATTTGGGAACAAGTTTCAATTACATATAACCTCATATAATGAGCGGTCTAGATTATTAAATTTTCTACAGCTTACTGTTTTCCTGTAGTTGTTTTCATTTTCCATTTTGCTTGGAAAATTTCCAAGTCCTCGAAATACTATCAGACAATCTAAGAATTTCACTCAGGTTACTGTTTTCTTTGCTTTTCTTTGACTTTGGGGAAAACTTTATTTGCTTTTTTAAGCCCTCTTAGGAAATGTTTATAATAACTGAAATATAAAACTTGTTAATTACAAAATTACTCTATATTCAGGTAATGGGAATTTATTTTTTTTATTTATTTATGATAGTCACAGAGAGAGAGAGAGAGAGGAGAGAGGCAGAGACACAGGCAGAGGGAGAAGCAGGCTCCATGCACCGGGAGCCCGACACTTGATTCGATCCCAGGATCTCCAGGATCGCGCCCTGGGCCAAAGGCAGGCGCCAAACCGCTGCGCTCACCCAGGGATCCCCAGGTAATGGGAATTTAAATCAGGAAATCTTCATTGACACTGTAGAATGTAAGTTTACACGAGGTGCTATTGTGTTATGAAGCAAATGGGGAAAATTCTAGATTTTCAGATTTCATAAGCCTGTATAACTTTTAATAGTTGAAAATAAAAATTAAGGGCCAAACTTTTTTTTGCTGTTGTTTACAAGTTAGGTGGATTGCCTGTGGGAAGAAATGATAAAAAATATTCCATTATTTCTTGGTTGGAATCACTTTCATATTAAAATTTGAAATTTTGCTCTGAACATTTTTAGTTATTTTTCGTTTTCTTCCAGATTACATTTTGGTAATACATTTTGAGTATAGCCTGTCTTGGTCTTTACCATTTTTATCAGTTTTGATCTTTCCCTTTTGGATGAGAGCTTTGTCCACCCAACATGGAGAAGTACAGCTTTAGGGAGCAAACCTGGCTCCAGGGTTGTTTGCTGAGGTCCTTTTTATGTGGAAAGAATGGTTATTACCAGGGAAGGTTTTCCTTTTGTTTTACTTGCTATCCAGATGCTGCTCAGACTCTGGCTCTCGCACAGGATCACAGTATGGATATTCCAAGTGAAGACCAACTGAAGGTAAAATCACCACACGGTGACTTCTTTTGTTGTACAGAGTGGCCCCTTCTCTGTACCTATGGGTCTTGGACTCCCAAGACCTTTCTCTAAATGTGGTAAGAATTTACTAAGAAAGGTTCTTGGGAGTTCACAGACCAGGGACAGAGTGAAACTTCTCTGTTCTGCCCATAGCAGAGTTCCAGTCTCTGAATCTTTCTTTGGGATGTAGCACTTCTGATCTTCAGTTCCTCCAGTTGCACTTTCTTTGGGGTTTGTGTGTGCCTGTGTGTGTGATGGTATATGTGTATAGGCGTTTGAAGAAAACTGCTTTATTAGACTTTAACAGGCTTGTTGCAGTTAAGTTCATGTCAGACCATTCTGAAAGGTTTCCCAAACCAGACCTGGGAAAAATTTATGATCGTTTTGGTATGTGCTGAGGGTTTCACATGTTTTCTGAATTATGCCTAATTTTATTTTATGCCTAATTATGCCTAATCATGCCTAATTTTATAGTCTAGAGGTTTTATATTGATTGATAGCCTGTTTTTAACAGTATTTTGGCCTTTTGTGCAGAGACTTTTTCCCCCAGGTTTGGGATTCTCTTAGCTCTGCTCACAGTGGGTCGAGGAGAGGT